TGGAAACTACCATTTATGGCTTAGGCAATGGAAAAAAAAAAACTACTTGGGAGGCAAAAGGGTGTCGGGATTGAAGAAGCCTTAACACGTGGAGCTAGGCTGCGGCAAGCCTTCATAGAAATACTGAAAGGGTCGGCATGAGGGAAGAACAGCAGACCATGCCTTTTTCTTGATGCGCGGGGTTGAGATTACCCTAAACCCTAAACCCTGAACCGGTTGAGATTACCAAAATCTGACCAGATATGGGAGTGTCCGCAAGAGACTGTAATTCGGACTCTAGGTGCACCCAAAAAACACCCTGAATTTTTGGAAAGCTTTCACACAAAGCCTACCACCCGGAGCCCCATAAATTCCGGTGATTTTGCGCGACGTATGGTAATGGGACCACCCAATATAAGGACTCGTGTTTTATGAGCCCCATACATCTCATGTCTCCTGAAGCCTAACCACAAAATCCTACCCTGAACCCTAAATTCTACACCCTAAACCTTAAGCACTAAGCCCTAAACCCCAAGTCCTAAACCTTCAGCCCTAAGCCCTAAGCCCTAAAGCCTTCCCTAGACCACACCTAAATTGACCCAAGTGTCCATTTAATGGTCCATCTTCTTTTCCGTTTGACTCTCCATTCTTCTAACCCCACCCTGAACACACCCTAAACCCTAAACCCTTTTTGCAGTGGGAAACCCAGAACCCTGAACCCCGAAACCCTAAACCCTAAGCCCAAAATCCTACAACCCAAACCCTACATGTCCCTGAACATCCCCGTAGTCCCTGCAAGGGGATCCCCCTTAGCCCACATTACCCAAGGAAGTTACAAAGATCCTGTTTACATAACTATAAGGCATCCCATACCCCAAAATAAGATTAAAAAAGGAGCCCTAAACCTTACATATCCCTATTATATATATATATATCCCTATATCACCCCTATATATCCCCCTTTAAGGCTATCCCCTACCATTGACCCAGTAAGCCCTTTCCTTGTCATCTGGTGCTGGCGTCGAAGCCGGAGAGATTCTCCCAGGATTCAGCTGAAGCAGCGAGGCGTTACCTCAGTTTAAGGGGAGTGGGGATGAGTTTAGGGGTTTAGGGGTTTTAGGGTTTAGGGTTTAAGGGTTTTAGGGTTTAGGGGTTTAGTTTTGTTTTTTTGTTAACCCCTCGGACTTCTTTTGATTTAGGGGTGTTAGGGTTTAGGGGATTATGTAGGGGATTATATAGGGATGATATAAGGAGAATGGAAAAGAAAATGGAAACTACTAATAGGGGATATAGGGATGATACAGGGAGAAAGGAAGAGAAAGTGGAAACTACGATTCAGGGTTTAGGTATTGGACTCGGTTTAAAGGGTTCTGCTCCAAGGTATTGTTTGCATCAAGGTTTAGGGGTTAGGGGGTGAGGGGTCAGGGTTTAGGGGTCTAGGGTTTTGGGCTTTAGGGTTTAGGGGTTCAGGGCTTCAGGGTTCAGGGATTGGGGCACAGGGTTTAGGGCTTGGGGCTTATGTAGGCCTTGGAGGTAAGAACTTAGGGTTTAGGCCTAACAAATGGCTCTGTCATATGGTAATGCATTTACAAAAAGCTGATACTTCTTGACATGCAGCTAGCTATAGGACGTCGTCAGCCAGCATTGCTCGTGCTGGCAATATGTATTTGCCCGGCTTTAACTATCCAGAACTATCCATGCGAAGGCGCCATGACCCATTCCCAGGAAAAGTCACATACCCAAACCCTAAACAGACAACCCTACCTGCAGGGGCAGGGGAACTGAAGGGGATAACTGGGGCTACTACATGGTCTATTGGCTTGATAAACATACTTATATACTAAGTCCCAATAAGTAGACAAACCCTAAACCCTAAACCCCTAAACCCTAAACCCCAAACCATAAACCTCATCCCAGAGTTGCCCTCTCCGTATGCCATAATCAGTTAAGGGAGTCTGCAGGCGCTCCTGCCAACAAGCCGCACTTTACCAAGTCCAAAGCACACAACTCGCATCTCAACACGCCTGCCCCAAGGGAACATGCACGTACACAAAAAAAAGCCACACTGTTGGTGCTAAACCCTAAACCTTGGGTACCCCCCCCCCCCTCAGTGACAGGTGGATAATTCCCCACCCTCGCAGTGGGGTTGTTAGATTTTCAAGTAAATGTTGTCCTCGCCCGACT